TCGTGTGAGTGGAAACGAAGCGAAATATCCCGAAAAATGATACATTTGTTGAAATTGCCTTTTTCTTTTCAAGAATGCCGCGAAAGAAGATTTTGCACGGATCATCCTATTAACGAGAGATTCTCTCCTACGAGAGAATTCGCATCTACCCATATAGGGTTTTACAATCGACCCAGTGCTGATTACTGGTTATCACAGTTCAGATACTGGTGCAATATTGGCTAAGTACTGGATGATGACTTAGGCTCAGTACAGACTGATAGAAGTTTGGCCGTCATTTAACAGCCAGTCATTTGTCAGTGATGGCCCAGTACTGGTTGACAGAATCTTGGCCATCGGTTGACAGTCGTAGCATTTGCTAAGCTTTGATTTCGTTGTAACTACTGGCGACCCTATATGGGTATTTGAGTTTGTTAATTCATACCCTGTGATGCCAAGGCTCGAATGAAGGTGAAGCCTTCGCTATATAGATATCTATGCGCGGGTATGAGAGATTCGTTTAACACACCTTTACGCACCGCGATTTACTTATGGTACAACCGACGAGACGCAGGAGAGATGCGCGATATCTATCGCTGATCTCTACGTGTAATCATTTAGCAAATACTGGCTTTGTGTCCCTTTAAAATCTCTGACGTAGACACATACAGAGAGAAATCTCTAAATATACAGGGTGTCGCGCCCACCCTCGGAAGTTTCGCGCAGAAACCGGTAATACCTGGTGTTTACGCGGAAACCACGAAGTGTCTACGCGTACTGTATCCAAATCATACACATAGACACGTAGACACGATACAGATAGGCACAGAGAGAATACAGCGAATCAACAGGAAAATGAGAAACGAAGATGACTATTGTCTCATCCATCTATACTATTCTACGATTCGATTATTCTGTAGATTATTATGTAATCTGATTGTAAATACAGGATTGTCACAGGAAATAAATTTAAAAATTCCCTGACTTCCAGGTTTTCCAGATGAAAATGGAAAATTTTCCATGACTAATATAAAATATGTAAATTTTAACAGATTCAGGGATTGTAAGAAAGCTAGTTTATATTATTATAAATAACGCAAAAAAGCTTAGTAGCATAGTAAAATTTTAGGTGCAAATTCAAGCCAGCAAAAACTAAATTAGTTTTGGAAAAAAGAATACAATTATGACGAAAAAGGGGGATCAAATAAAAATACTGAATAAAATATAAATTTTAATTATTTTATTAAAATATCATTTAAAGTGCGTAAGTTTTGAACGTATTTGACTATAAACGTCAGATATAATATTTAAAAAATTATAACAATTATTTGAAATAGGAGCAGTTTATATTATATTTATATTTTAAGGAAATTGTGAGCAAATTTCGAAATTTCAGACTTTTACATTTTTCCCTGACTTTTCCCGGTTTTCCATGACCAATTTCAATTTTCCTGATTTCCTAGTTTTCCTAGGGTCTGTGACAACCCTGCGCATAGTATAGATAGATGGGACGAGATGGTCATTTTCGTTTCTCACATTTTTCTGTTAAATAAGATTCATTGTTATTATTAATACATGAAACAATTAACATAGACTGAAGATTAGAGTTTCTTCTGATTATTGCTAACATCACGTGATAATACTGCACAGTTATTTTTATTGATTCCGTCTATTTGGATAACGATTGGTTTGGATACTTTACGCGCAACTGATGAATCATTCCCAATTCTATGTGTACATCCGAATCTACACTGCGTCAGCTCTCTTTTCGTGCTGGGATTGCTCGAAGCGAGAGGTGGAGAACTTGATAACGTTACGAGTCGAGAGATCACAATGTGTACTTGTTTAATTTTATCCAATTTTGCCAATGTTGAATTTCTAGGAAAATAATAATCGGCACCACCGAGTACTATTACTCTATAGTGAAAAAATAGTCTCCTCACACAAAAGTTAAAGAAAAACAGATCCGTGTGAATGTACATATCTCGATTGCCGGGATTATTCGGATAAAAAATAATTTCCGCTCACTAATAACTTTTCATCCCCTTAGGAATTTAAAGAAGTCTGTCTAAACGATACTCGAACAATCTCGCATGTGAATTGTGACGCAAATATAAACTCGTTACCGTCACAGCTTAGTATCCCCTATATCTTTACGCGGTAATATTTGTGAAGTTGACAATTCGTTATAAGAGAAACACAATCACAATAAATGACATTTATATATCTGCATTTACGATTAATCTTTCATGTGAGGACGCGTTGCGTTCCTATCGCGCTTCATAGAACCAGGATGGCTCGTTGTACCCGCGGAGATAAATTCACTTTTCACTATCTATAAAGACGAATATCGGAATGTCAGTTCAACGAAATCGCATCGGCCTGATGGAATCTCATAATTTTTTTTATAAAAAGAAGAAATGACTTATCCGCACATTCCTAGATAGTAGTCTTACGGAAGCGCGAGATACTTGCCGATGTCGCGGGCGGATATTGTCGCGCCCGTCCATCAGATTCTCGCTTCTTACGCACGCGCTATGCTATCGGTTGCACGAAGTAAAAGGAAGATACGACGATGAACAGGGAAGAACGGGGGTGCGATCGGGCACATTTCGCAACGACGAAACTCAACCCCGTCGCGAACCGTTCGTCAGAGGCCGAAATTACCCTCCGAACGATTTCCTAGGCTCGAAATTGGAGGCACAAACATTTCCCTTTGATCGCGCACCCCTCTCTCTGTTCGTTATCCACCACCAGACGCGAAATAGGGGTTTTCGTCGAACCGGCAAACGCGCTGTGTTGTCTCTCGCTTGAGGGTAGCACCTCCCGTCGTGTTTCAAAAAATAAAATCGTCCGCACTTCTTTTTTTTTTCTTTGCTTTTTCATTTTTCTCTCTTTTTTTTTTTCTCTCTTTGTGAGCACGTTCTGCGTGTCTTCGTCGTCTCCTCGTTCCGTCCGCGAGGTCGGCGACACCGCAGCTCTTCGACGGACAAGTCGACGGATAGATTTCCAGGCGCGGCGTCGCCGATCTCTTCTGAGCAATATACGTGGGACAGCCCCGTGCCGCATCGTCGGGAAACCTCCCTGAGCGAACATCGACCCGGGGCAGCGGAAACAGGAAATACGTTGGACGTGGTATGCGTGCGACGCGACCGCTTCGCTGATACTTCATATCGCGAGCTTGCGATCGCTTTCGGCTCGCACCCGCGTCTGCGTCTTTATCCGGGCTCCGGATCATCCTCTCGCGAGAAAACTGCGCTTTAAAAATTTATCTCCTTTGATTGGTCACTGTTTCCTTTTAAATTTGTTTCAAAAGCTTCGAGTCTCCAAAGACGCAAGTGTGGCCGTAGTGGCGTAAAGAGTTCTGCTTTCTGTGCCAAAGGATTCAAATCCATCCAGAACACATATCAGATGATTTTATTTGATCGTTATCTCTCGGAAAGCAATGACAAACCATCTAGAACGTATCTTCCAGTGGTAAAATAATCTATGGCGTTAAATCTGATGAATCTATAATTATCTAAATTAATTTTAGATAATGTTCTAATTTTAGATAATTATAGATTCATTGTTAAAACTGTAGGGTCCCGTATGCTTGTGGCGATTGAATAATCAGCATGTGTACCATAAGCATATGAGAGAGGTGTAACACAAGCCCGTAAGAAGAAGATTCATTATATTTAGCGTCGCAGATATTTTTGCTACATTAAATTTAAAATACAACGTTGACTATTTTAACTATTTTGAAAATAAATTTACCATTGACAAAGATATTCTTGGTTTGCCATTGACTTCCGAGAAGTAACGATCGAATAAGATTATGTGTTCTAGGGAAATTCAAACCCTTTTTTACACAGAATAGACGCGCAACTCTTTACGCCACAATAATTACATCTATACTTTTAAAGATTCGAAACTCATTAAACGAATTTAGAGATAAAATTTACCGATAACTTACATTAAATAAATATTTCGGCGAGCGTTGACTCATTTTCTTCGCAAAAAGATTGGCTGCCCGGATAAGGACTGAGCCTAGCGATACCAATAAGACATCCGATGGTATATTATCGGTGGTAGAAGAGCAGAGGGATACACTTCTCTAAAATCCACCGACATAATTAAATTACAACATGAGTCCTCTTGCCTCTCCAATTTCCGCGACAGCTATCTAACACTGTCCTTTTAAATTAGGATATATATAGGGTAAATAAAAAAATATGATAATTCAAACACGAGCTTCCGAGGCTTCGGCCTGTGTCACTTGGTACCGCTAGGATTGATAAAACCTGCCAGATACCAACAGGTTGTTCTATACACCCGAAAGATCATCGAACGTTCGACACTTTTCTAGACACATAGCTTTCAATATTCTTTTTCCAGCGTCGAACATTCCGCAGCCGATCCTCGTGTGCACCTTATACAGGCTTGAGGAGGGATAACACATGACGCAGCGAGTCAACGCCGATCATTTCGTATTCTTGAAACTCAACGATGAGAGACGTCTCGTGTACTTATTGAGACAATTGTCGTTTCACATGGAAAATTGAAGCGAACCGCATTGTCTCGACGTGCCGTGTGTTACCTAACCGTTATCTCATCTTACGGTTATATTTACTGGATCCGACGAACTATCCGATGTTAATTTTGCAATGGCGGACACGTTCGCGGTACAACAGCGCGCGATCTTGCGCAAAAAACATACGATATATTTATACTTGTAAACTTTACGCCTCTTTTTTTCTTTCATTGTTAACAGGCCGTGGCTATACAGGGCCCTCTACGCTTTCAATTCAGTCTGTGGCGCGCGGTTTTCCAAACAGATCATTGAGTACGATGTACATACATGCATGTATACGTTTATGTTTATGTGTGTGCGTGTGCGTGCGTGTGTGGGTGCGCGTGTGTGTATGTGCGTGTGTGCGCGTGTGTTGTGTGTGCGTGTGTGGGTGCGCGTGTGTGTATGTGCGTGTGCGTGCGTGTGTGCGCATGTGTTGTGTGTGTGTGTGTGTGTGTGTGTGTGCGTGTGTGAGAGATAATACACAATTAAGATGTTATATTTCGTCGTCTTCATAATTTCAACCATCGCGACATGTGTACTAAACGTCGCTAACATCCTTGTTGCCTTAAATGATCCTCGTCCTGGAATATTTCCGTTTCGGGCGTGAACAGTGAAGATTTATCTCCACGTCGAAATGCCTCCGGTCGGTCCTCGTCGAGCAAACGTAATCTGATTTGCAAAATATCGTTGATATTAATGTATCTTGTAATTGGAGCTCGAAAAAAATTTGCCTCGGTGTTTCTTGAAGGATTAATCTGACTTGACGGATCGCACTCGACTTGGTTTCGTACACATGATTTTGTATATGCTTTCCTTCTTCACTTTTCCATACCGACGTTGTCGTCTTCATGACCCGTATAAATACACCAGTACAAGACGTTGAAGAGAATGAACATGAATGGGAAGGCATAGCGCGCAATATAGTCGATTCTAGCGCTGCCGCGGGCATTATCCGGATATCCACAAAAAAGCAATTTCCTCAGCCAGTAGCGCGTTTTCGATGGCACTTTAACCGACCTGGGCAGCGGTGTCGTGGACGAAATCTGTATAGCGATCGGCGGCGAAGGTGTTGCGGCGCGCATCGGCGTGCCCAGAGGCGACGCTGATGATGCTGGTGAAGGCCATCGCGACGGCGACGACCTCGCCGAGGGCCTATTATGCGAGTGATGTCGCGATGCTTTCATCGGCGAACATCGGTCGGCGATGCAGTCTTCGTCGTTCAACAGCGAGAAAGTCGGCGATGGCGAACGATTCGGATGATAACGCTGATGACGGTGAGGTAACTGATGATGGTGGTGGTGCTGCTGCTGCTGCTGCTGATGATGATGATGATGATGATGATGATGGTTCTGCTGATACGCACGCGGCAGCGAATGATGTTGTATCATCGGCGGATTGCTGCCGTGAGTCCGCTGTTGCTGTATATAAAAATGACTGTGATGACGGGGAGGATCATGATGATGATGATTCTGAGGTTGATGATGATGATGACGACGATTATGAGGCTGATGATACAGTTGTCGTTGACGAGGACGTGAACGTTGTTGCGGCGATCGTGTCTGTTGGAACTGTTGTTGCTGAGGATGGCCGCGAGCCACTACTTCCCTTGTTGATCCGAGCGCCTTCCCTTCGAGATTTATTCTTGCCCCTCGTCCTCCCGAAACAGGTACGTGGACCAATACGTGAGGTTGAAGAAAGCGAATACGATTGGGAAGAAGATCCGTGAAATGACGTCGATGCGCTTGGACCTCGTCGGGAACTTGGACAGCCACGACCTGCAGCAGTTTTTTTTCCGTGGTTGCATATGTATTTCGCACTGCTGCAATTTATCCATCGACATGGAATCCTCCGGGTGTCGGACCAGAGGCTTCTGAAAGAATTCGGGTGGTATTGAACCATTAATTTCTCGCACTCTTGGGTCCTTAATTCAAACTATTTCGATTCTAATCGAAAGAATCTCGACCCTCTTCTTTTTGCTGCATAAAAGAATCTCATTCTCATCTAGAAGAAGCGTCTAGAAAAATCCTGATCTCTTCCTTTGATGCATACAAACTCAGATTTTTCAATTGCAATTATTTATAATGAATAAAAAAAAAATATATAATGCTATCCCGGCTGAGACAATATTTTTCGCAATAAATTTTTCGCAGTTTATGATTCTCGTTAACGTCTAGATTATTAATATTCTTATAAAGATGCTTATTAGATGCATTAAAAATGATTAAATTATTTGTCAATTTAATAAGTGATATTAGTACTCGGGTTCTGCTCATGATTGCGTTTCAAGACTGAAAAAGATTTCAGCGAGCAGAATCAGATATGTGCATAAATTCAAACAGAAATATTTGAGCACTAAGATCCACTTTGACTGAAATAGGATTTTTCTTGTTTAATTAGAGTTGCTACGATGTTGCCGCAACAGGTTCATGTCCTCGTCAACCAAAATGAAAGTTTCCGGAAAAGCTCGAGGAGAAGAAAGCATCTATGTCGGAAGTATCTTGAGCGCGTGCATGGAGATGCTCGAGGAATCGTCATGCCTTGTTGGTATACTAACCATAGCGAAGTTGGCGGATCCATCCGGCTCGAGCAATTCCGAGGACGGATCAATCGACGACGAATGTTCCATCTCGTTCTGTGGAAACTGCTTCTTTATGTTGTCGCTGTGCATATCGCTACGCGACGCGTAGTTGACCAGCGCGAATTCAAGTAGCGCACCGAACACGAAGGTCAAGCACACTCCTGTCCAAACGTCGATAGCCTTCGTGTAGGAGACCGGTGGCAATGAGGCGTTTATCCCCGATGTCTGTGTGGCCATTGTCAGCAATGTCGTAACGCCTGGACGAGAGAAGACCGACAGACTTTTGTAGATTTTTGCAATTAATCTTGAGATGATTCAATAAACTCGAGTAAAATAATTAATAAAACAGACGAGCGTCTATAATAGCGTATATTTCCCTTTCTTTTTTTTTTCTTTACAAGATCATTAATCGTTACATTTACTAGTCTTTAAATAATTCATTTCAATGTGTACATTGCAGCTCTTCGTATTTTTGACGTTAAAACTGATTTAAAAATAAATTCAATCGTTCACATTCGACCAATATATCTACAATTCTATTCGTTCTTTTAATAATAATATTGATTTTTCTTATTTCTGGGTTACAAATTTAAACACATTTAGAGTGTTTATTTTAATCTCCGTCGCGTGGCGACCACGTTTCGCTCTTCGTTATGATTATTTATAGCTGCGTTCAGCAGAAAAATCTTTGCAACTGTATTGGCAGATTCTTTGATACGATTGGTTCATACATTTAGATCCAGTGAAGAACCAAGAGCGAGAACAATCAAATTAAAGAATTTTATAACAACTGCAAAGCTATTTCTCCCGCCTCTTCCGCAGCCTACGACATAGAAAATTATCTTTACAGCATTAACAAATTTGCTGTGCTGTTGCAACAAATACGATTATCTATAATCGCTAATTTTATTCAACTGTATATTTTGCTAATTTAACATGGAAAAATAGCTATCCGTACATCACGACTGTAGATTCGCTGAATCAGTGAAGTTTTTAATTACTTTAACAAATCATTTTTTTTCCTTGTTACGTGATTTATAACTCTGAATTATAACATCGCTTTTGCGCCTAGATAATAATTTATACCTAGTGACACTCGGGCAGGCACGGCGCTCTGATCCAACCAGAAAGACACCCAGGACACGATAACGAGCATACAGCATGGGATGTAGATTTGAATGAGATAGTAACTGAACTCTCTCTTGAAGAGCAGGTCCACTTTCAAGCAACTGTACTCTCCTGTGTTTTTTTTTATTTCACCGTTAGAATCGTTATATGAGTTCATCGTGTTTTTTCTTCTCAACGCAAGTTCTCCACTTACCAGTGTTCGTCTTGCTATTACAGTAGTCCGTGAGGAATTTCTCGAGGGTGAACCTGGGTAGGTGTAAATTCTTAACCACTTGAACGGGGTCGCCTTCCTTCCAGAGAAAGACCAAATCGTCCGTCGTCCATCCGTCTATCGGGACGGACGAAGACGGGTTATTATTGGACAAATGATTAACTTCGACAATGTTTAGTGAAAAAATATTTATTTCGGAGTGTTAATCTAGCTAAATGGGACGGAAAAACGAAGTTTATCGAGTCGTCGAAATTACTTACAACTCGCCATACGAAGTGAGCAAGTTTGTCGATCCAGGGGATACAGTTTCAAATTCATGGGACACGAGAGCGTCAAGGATATCCTGCGTCAGGGAAAGAGAAAAATAAGGATAGTTTATATATTTAATGCCTGTGGAAGTAAGAATCCAATTCGCACTGGTTACACAAACACACGCTTGTGTTTCGTCATCCGGCACGGTACGCAAGGTATAGATATCCGATGTGTACTTTAGCGGAGTGAATTTTGCGACATTTGATTATCACGAGGATGAAATGTGAGAGTGTAATGAATAATAAATTCCCATCTAGGTATTTGTTGAACAATTTTAATTTGGATTTCATATAAGCGCCCTCAAACAATATTCGCAGAGGAGAGAAAAAAAAAGGAGAACAGAGACGACATCAATAATCCTTTGTGAAAAATTGCGCAATCTCGCTGATTAAGCTGACTCTGCATTCGCCGCACATCGATTACATCCATAATCACGTTGGTACTCACCGTATGCTATAAAGAACCGAGCCATGCGGGAAAATTCGTATGTATACGTTCGGCATAATGATGTTGTGGAAATGACCTTCCTTTTCGTTCGAGAAGAACAAATCTGGCATCCAGACGCGGCTAGCCTCCGTCAGAGTTAAATATTTAAGTTTACCTGCAACGTACAACAAGAACAGTGGGTATACTCGTGAAAAATAGGCGTACGTTAACGGAATACGGTATCGCTCGTTAGCGTTCATTCAGTAAGGAGAAAGCGCGAATATCAGCGACAATTTGCAAAAGGGAGATAAAAATAGCCCGCTATTAAATTTGCGTAACGACCAGCACGAGCGAATAAAATGTTACGACTCGCCCTTTGGGGCACGATATAATTGCAATATGAAAAAAAGTGTAGGTATAAACGCTCTTTGTGCGTCCGAACTTTTCCCGTTTGACCGCAAAATATCGCGTTTGTGATGTTGCTGCACGAAGATACTTTGGCATTTATGGAAAATAAAGGAAGGATGAACTTTGATCGGACTTTTGAATTTTTTTCCATACTGCAACCTGTGCAGTTACAGGGAATATATATTCTATCTTTAAAACTATTATTCTTGTATTTATATGACACGGCATTGTACACGCATTGCATGACTGTTATATTATCGTTGCTCCGGTTTTATCGCATCACGGCTTTTATCAGCGTTGAAACATCAATACTGGAAGCGTAGAAATTTCAAACTGAAAATCAGTTATAAAATACTATTGTGAACTTTACGTACCTCCAAAGTCATTAAACCGTAATCTTTCATCCATCCATTGTTCCCGAAATGTTAATTGTACGGAGTATTCCTGGAGAGAAGAAGAATAAATGTGATTAAACAGCGTCGCGCGTTATGGCAGCGAGTAATGTAAAGAATTATTCCTTTCTCTTCTTAGTAAGCGATAGTCTCTCTAATTATAAAGTTTCGTAAGAAACGTAAAGAACGTGCGTAAAGAAATAAACAGTAACAGAAGTCTAAATTCATCTCGAATCAAATAGTATTTATAATAGCAATGAAGTCTTTGTGAAGAGAATGAAGAAAATAACTTGGCGTAAATGATAACTCCGCATTTAATGAAGAGTTTTAATTATAATTACAATTGTATTTTTAATTCAATAATGATCAGTTCTCGAGAACGAGTACCGGTATAACATTTCAATGCGACACGTAAAATCTAATAAAACATAAAAGAGAGAGTTGAATTAAAAAAAAATTTAATCTTTTTCTTTCATCTTTATATATAGATACATATTATTCGATAAAAATCTCGCACCTATAAAAAGCAATTATTCAAACACTTCGTAACACAAAGAGAATTTCTTTCTATCTGCAGGTAATATTATCGTCACTCTGGAACGTGCAACGCCAAACTGGTTGTCAATATATATATTCTTACCATAAAAAAGAAGTGATCATTAGTACACAGGTATGAATTTCAATTTTATGTTAAGAGCTGTATTCTCGAATAGGTCGAATATTTTGACATCGTTTTAGCAATTGAACATAGTTGTAGCTTTCATTTAATTTTTCTTAAAAAAAAGAAGTCTGATATCATATCACACGAATTATATTTTGCGTCGCATAATAAAACGATCGAATTACAGCGAGACATAAAAATTTATGTAAATTTAATGTTTCGGAAAGAGATTTTAATCGCGGTAGATTAACGAGGTCAGTAACATTCGTGCCTATTGATCCACATCTGCGACATTAATCTGCCTTGGCGTAATCGCGCATGTCGATAAGTTAACTCGTCACGGATCGAACTGATGCATTTAGGTGGAAGGACGTCATTTCATCAAGTTGCACCTGAGCGACGTACAACACGCGTCAATCCGTGACGACTATCTATCACTTGGTAATGTGTGTGTCGAGAAATATGGAACAGAAGACCGGAGATATGTTATATATCGGTGGCGGTGGGAAAAGCGTCCCGGGAAGACGAAAATTCCTGGATCGGAATGAATTATCGAAACGCGTCCGGGGACGTTTTTCCGCGGTGAAGCGATCATGCGACTCGAGGGCGTTGCAAGCCATCGACAGGGACATCAATAGCCGATCTGTCGTCAAATGCTCCGAATAACACTGGCGCAGCCAAGGAGATGGGGGGGACGGTGGGGGGTCAAGGGCCATGCAAAAGCGAACACCGAGGACCTACCAGATGTAATCAGATCAAATGCCAGAAATGTCTCGGGCACTATTGCGCAATCTGTTAGCGGTGTAAAAAAAGAAACGCATGCAGTTTCGCTCACGGGGTTCTCGTGTTCACCAGCTCGCCTGCGTGCCATTTCTGCGCCGGCGTGCGAAGTCCTGCGTGTGCCCTGTTTCCTATTTCAGAAGGGGGTAAAAGGGAGTGCTTTCGCAAATACACATTTTTTTCCCTTCCTTTTTTTTTTCCTTTTAAATACTTTCTTCCTTCCTCCTTGTTTCCCTCGACCTACCGACCGCCAATTTTCGTCTATCCTCCACGCCCGGTGCAGTGCAGTTTCACTCTACAAATGTTTTTTAACGTGAAAAAACATCCCGTTGGCCCTTCTCCTTCTTTTTTTTTTTTTTTTCATCTAACTTCTTTTTCCCTGTCGGCTTGCGGTATTAGTTTTCACTTTAAAGTGTGCCAGAGCTCACACTCGTGTGTGTTTCGCTCATCTCCGCTCTCCTCCGCTTCTAACTCGTCCGATGGTTTTGTTCCGTCGTTAACTTTTTAGCGACTCGGCCGTATTCGCAACGCATCTAATATCGGCGGAAAGTTGTTCTGAAAAATTGAAAAGCATACCGCCAAACGGAGGATTTACCGGTCACCCTCTTTTCGAGCTTTCGTTCGTTCTATTTTTCCTTTTCTTTAATTTTTTCTTTTTTTTTTTTTGTACAACGCGCGTCTTTTTTTTTTCTTTTCTAGTATAATACATCACTCACAGAGAAATAAAGTACGCTAAACGCGTTTGCGTGGATGCCCGTTTGTACTTCGAGGTACTTATTCCTTCCCGTGTAACGCGAACGACGAGATTTCCTTGGGACAGGTATCGTGCGCAATACTACCGCGATTATACGACATGCACTCGCGATTTTCGCATCTCTCGAGATAAAAGCGATCGTCGCTTTTGTATCCGTATGTATGAAAAATATATATCTTGTGCGCATAAAACGACGTTATGGAGATTCGTCTATCGTGTGTCGGAGGGAGATTTCGAACGGGAAATCGAGTTGTTCTCTCAAATATATGCACCTTGCACGAAAATTCTATGACACCGACGGAAGAAATTGCCATTGGCGGGGAGACTTTTTCACACTCGATTTGATTAAAGTGGAGGATAGAAATTACTAGTAAATCATCGCAATGTTCTTGCGGTAACATCTTCGTGGAGACCTAAATCGCCTTTCTAAGCCAACTGCTTGAATCATAAATTGTATGAAACGAAACAAATATGTGCGATCATTAGAGAACAGATATATATACATATTTTTTGCAACCCATTAAACACTTTTAAAAATAATATTACGTCATATATATATATATATATATGTCATATATATACATATATATACGTGGAATAACGAATAATCGAATGTGTCGTATCATCGAGTGTACTTACGACGATGACATAAAATTATATACAATAAATACCAAATAACACAGCGACAACACGTCGAGGGGGATTTCATACATAATCCTGACGTATAAGATCTAGCACACAGTCAATATCTCAATTTTATGCTACACAATGACAAATGCAAAACATCCAAAAAATCATCAAGGTGTTCTATATATTTAAAAAAAGGGGGGAAGAGAAAAATGGGGAGAGTAACCGCAATGCAGCCCTCGAATTTACGTCGGAAAACGATCCTGCGGACGGTAAGATAAAGACAGCCCCCGATATTTCAGGCTATACCGTTGCTTACCGGAAGCTGTTGCGCGCGGTTAACAGCTGGCTCGTAATTTTTCCCTGGCTCCTACCTTTTAACGAACGACAGTCATCGCTACCTCTACCTTTCTTACGGGCAAAATTCTCGAGTTACGCGCACTTAGGGCGATATATTTGCCGTTTAAGCCGGCCGCTCGACGAAACGAGCGCTCCTTTTTCTCGCGTCGTCCGTAATTAACGCGGAAACGACGATTTGTTACTGTCCCTCCCCCCCCCCCCCCTTGGGAAATCGCACGAGATATTTAAACGTGTTTGGAGTGCAGATGCACTTACACGGGGTAGGGAAGCACAACTCGATTATCGCGAGGCGACAAAAGGCTAATTGGTCGAGTCGAGTCTCTCTCGATCCCCCTTGCGAAACGGGTCGTTTTTAGCGAGTAAGAAAGTATTATATATCGTCACTCTCTGTTGTTCCGGCAATTGTCCTGATGGCAATGGGATAGTGGGATGTGTCGCGGAAAGTAACGCTCGCGAACCCTCTATGGACCGTGTCATTATTGCTCTGACTTTTATCTCTTTTTAACACGCTCATATCGTAAAGAACGGCGTATAATATTTAACAGTTGTTATTAAAATTGATCTCTCTCATTTTTTTTTACATCGTTACAACAAATGTAATTCTACAATTAACTCGATGATTATGAATGTCAAGAATGAACCGCGAAAGAGAAATATTGAAATATAAAGAATACATTATTGTTAGGTGAAAGATTAGATGGGATATACATTGTGTATATATATATACATATATATGGCCGGAAAGCAAATTCAATTAAAGTTAAAAGTTTCCACATCACGTCTTCACACAAATTTGCTCTACTAATTTGATCACGTCGGAGAAGCTCCCTTCAGGATTTTTAACTTCGATCGGGAACTTCCGACTCGCCGTCGTCAGGCATTGTTTCGAAGTTTTGTTTAGGTCACAGAGGGTTCCACGAGATTTCGGGGCCAATACTGCCAATCTCGAGCTTGCTCGACGATTCGTCCGTATTCCGTTTTCCTCGCCGATGAGCAGCCTCAGGTGTTAAATTTTGTCACGCGGCGTCTACAATGAGATTTTAAAGCGTGAAACTTGAGCTTTAAGTCCTAAGCCGTAAGAAACTGACCAATCACAGCCGATTATTCTCCTCACACTTGACTGATGGGTCAATTTCTTATGGCTTAAAGCTTAAGGCTTAAGATCTTGAGACGTGAAATTTGAGGTTTATGCCTTAAATCGTAAGAAACTGACCAATCTTAGGCCGGTGTTCATAATCAGTTCTTATATTCGAGACCGTCTTAAATTCTGTCTTGAGGTGTCACGAACCAATCAGAGGGTCGTATTAGCGTTTCGAAACATTACTTAAGACGGTCTTGAAATAAGAATCGACTATGAAAGTACCGGCCATAGTCGATTATTCTTCTCACACTTGACTGACTAGTCAATTTCTTATAGCTTTTAAGGCTTAAGCTTGAGTTTTACGCCCTAAAATCTCACCGTAGACGCCGCTTAAACGATGCGCATACACAATGCGCTTTCTTCGTGCGCTCTTTACGGAGAACGGGTTACGATCTTCCGTCTTGACGCGCTTATATCCTCGTCTCGCCGTTACCGTCTTCGATATATTCGCTCGCAATGAAAATTCTAACAGCCGCATTATTCCCACGCGAATTTCCCTTCCATCCCCCTCTTAGATTTGTTCCTAAGCGCAGCGATCTGCTCATTCAGTCGACAAATATTTGTCAGAATAAACGATGCCGAACGTGCCCGTACTTATAAGAACGTGATACAGAATGAAAAAAATAAAGGAAAGAAATGAAGAAAAAGAGACAGAGAGAGAGAGAGAGAGAGAGAGAGAGAGAGAGAAGCGGAAGAAGAAGACGAAGAAAGACCACAGAAAGGGACGAATTCTTGCAGGGCCTAAAATTGAACGACCGATTTTTTTTTCTTGCAATACCTTCAACGCGAGGGGATAGTCGCTTTCTGTATATGTTGTAATTTTATTATTTGAGCCGGTTATTGTAAAGGCCGCAAAACACGCTCTTGCATAACACATAATGCATAGTGCATAAGGGAATCAATCAATCGAAATTCTTCTTTTCTATGGAATGGGAGGAAAGGAAAGATTCTGATTAGTTGATTCGCCTACGCACTATGCGTTATGTAAAAGTCTGTGCTGCGGCTTTAATTTAATTTCAATTTTATTATACGCGAATTTCAATTATGCACGTTAATAACCATTGTACATCAGCGACTTTTATTTTTATAAATATATTATTTTGGCTCGTAATTTCCTGTATTTTTATTTGAATTTTTAATAATTGAGCTTATTATAATATTTAATTTTGATAATCACTTAATCCGAGTCGAAATCGTTATAAAGTTCATATGAAATTTCTATGTATAATCCGATAATGACATACGCAGCCACGAAAAATCGTTGTATACGCGGAGAAAATTTTATATTTAGAATTACTATAATGTAGTAGTAGCTGCGGTCTTCATGTAAATTATAAGTTCAAATGCTATAGTTATTTTTTTAAAAACAATAATATAACGTAATTTTTACACTTTTTTATAGTAAAAATTTTTTATTACAAAATCAAATATATCTAGCAAATCCTGTTTGCGTACCATAGTAAAAATTACCTGTTTTCATGTTAGAATACGGCTTAACAAAATAATTACTTTATTTATGTGACAAAAATTAGTATTATCATAGTAAAAGTTAAGTCGGAATCATGTTGTGAGAGTCTATCGAAAATACAAGACATAGTAAAGTGTAATTTAAAATTGTATTAAAACTTAATATAACATTTTCTCCGTGTAGTATTAAATGAAATCATATATCATACGAAATGACTTCATACGTAGTAAAAAAAATTATTTGTAATCAGATGAAATCATATGAAATCATGTAATTTGTGGGACGACATTTCAGCTAGCGATTATCCCCTCGCTTCAACGTGTAACGATTCCGATGAATATAATATTTATCCCGTGGTCCAGTTTAATGATTACGAGCGCGTGATGTCCGAATAGCGAAAGTAGAAAGAAGGATACGTGAACAAATATTGTTTGTGTTTTTTTATCGTGTGATGCTGGCGTGTGAAGCGTAACGAGTCTCTGATTCGTCGAAACAGAATGCCAATTATCTCGACGAGTTCCGCGCGACGGCTGGGGAGATAGAAAAATCAATGCCCGAATCGCGATGTCGAGAAGAATTCGGCTGGACGTCATTTATGATGGAGTTTCCACCCGAAATCATGTCCGACGTATATCGGTGCGAACCAACAAAAGAATGGCAATGATTACCGTAATATCAAGAACTCTGTAATGCGTTGAACCATGTGAAATTTATCGCTCGTATATATTCATGTGAAGTTTATCGCTCGTATTCATTTTTCCGCCCATCGTGGGGATATAAATATCCCTCTCCGACAAAAGATGTGTTATACATAGCTTTCAGTAAGTAACAAAGATCGCCCTCCAGTCTCGCGCGACTAAAGAGTATCGGTTGCCTACTCTCATCTTGACACAGAATTCCAAGGAATCGTGCGAAACCCACCCATGAAGAGCGAGAAGTCAAAATAATATCACATTGACCGAATTATGATAAAAAAAAGAACAACATAAATTCGATCAATAATCAGTCGATATGACGTCGAATTGACATCGTTTTGACTTTCTCGTTCCACTTTGGGCCACTTAACGTTGACGACCTTCACACGGAGAGAATTTTTTCTTAGAATTTATACCCTGAAAATATGATAGTCTTGGAACAACATTGTATTTCGAGGAATTTTAATGTAAATCTCTCTCATTCATTAATAAAACATTCGTTAATAATAAAGTATAAAATAAGTTTGATCAATTTTAGTAGTTAGTGCATAGCAAAAATCTTGAAAATATTGTATTGTACCGCAACTATTATATATATATTTTCAGGGTAAATTTTAAAAGATAATTCTGTCCGTGCAGATGTCGTTCGCATTTGCAATCAACGAGGCAGAGACACGCGTGCGTGTGCATGTGAATGTGCGTGTGCGTATGCGCGTGTATATCGAGCTTACTATCTCTCGTCTGTTTGGCGAGCAAACCTGAGGCCCCGCAACGTGTCTTGGAACGCATTTTGAATTGGACTTGCGAACGATTGTCCTTCGCCGCACACGCGGGCACATGTCGGTCAGTCTCTCTATAGCCAAAGGTTCCAACAAGGCACAAAGACGTGGTTGCAACGTACAGTCAATCGAACGTTCGTACGATCAGTACGGGTGCTTTTCACTCGGTGACGCAGGTCAACACAAAGCGTCGTTCTATCTCGTTACTCCGTCCTGAATGTCAAGAAAGGCAGAACGACGCTCGCACCGACTTGTGTCACCGAATGGAAAGCATCCTACACAGCAACAGACAAATTACTGATACACTGCAGGCGCGACACAGCTAAAGCTCTAGATGTACCAAAGTAGCGCGATCCTTTTATCCGAGCCGAAATGCCGATAACTTTCCTATTGGCTGTTTCGACCGCCATTTTCGACCTGGTCCAATAAACGCTTAGTGTTATCGATACAAAATGGAGGTACTGGTCGAAAATGGAGGATCTTTGCGCTACTTTGGTATGCATCTAGAGCTTCAGCGACAGCTTCACCGTGCCTTGTCGCCGCGGATTCTTCAGCCAATCCCAAGTCGATTTCTCCTTAACGAAAAACCTCTCGATTAATTTCAACGTTCGAATACATTCGAGTCTGTCGAATTAAAAACAACAGATGGATCACCCATGTGTCGTGTTCCCTTGCGACATAGAATTCGCATTAAGATTTCGATATCGCCAATCCGTTTCACCCTCCTCCCCTCTTTCCCTTGAAGAAGAGACCGACTCCTGAATTCAGCCGAAAACTCCGTGCATCGATCCCGGGCACGATAAAGCCGGGACGGCCTGTATAATATGTATATAGACTTAACATGACAGTTAATGACATCGAGAAAAATCAACACGAGGTGCGATTAGCACACATCCATTGTCAGCGCGGCGCACGAGAGTATGCATATACATGTATAATACGTATGTACGTGTGCAGAGATGTCGCGCGCGCGCGGGAGACGAGACTGATAATATATATATATGCATATATACGTATACATATACACGTAATACAGATACAAGTACAGAGAAGTGCAAATCTTACGGCATCATATACACGTGACGTTTTAATATAATTGTACACAATATGTGAGGATATACAGACTGTAGGCCTTGTTGATTACTTGTATATTGCACTCACCATATTATAATCATCTATTTTGCTGATAGAGCGGAGAAAGATGTTGACCTTCACATTTGTCGGGCCATCTAACACGTTGACCGGAACAGAACAAAAGAAATCGATTAATTAAATCGGTCGCCGTGAACCGAGGATCGCTGGTCTTTGTATTTTCTTTGCTTATTTCTTTTTTTTTCTTTCTTTTCTTTTTTCGCTTTGGTTAATTCGCTTTCGCTTTCATTTTAATTTACCGGGATAATATAATTTGCGGCGTGGGTGGATCATCGATGAATGAGAGGACGGGGGGGAAAGGAGGCGCGGGAATGATAGAGGCATCGTGATAAGATGATTCTGAGACTCATCGATTCTCTCGAACGCACGCGTCGATGGATCGAACGTTAATAAATAATGGATTAATCGCGAATCGTCGTTTCCGCCGATCGTACGATACGCATCCGAGCGAATGGACGAAACGACGGAGCATTATCATCGTGCACTTCTGTGCCCCGCGATAAAATCGCGACAAACCGCACGCGGTGTGTTCGGCGTGTTTTCGAAAAATCGTTACGACCAAAATCAAACTCCCGATAAAGTGTCACACTCGTAACACGTGCTCGTACTCTGATGACAATTAATTTTTTACGGATGACACTTGAAATCATCGTTTTATATCACTTTTTAATCAGTTTGAAACACTCCTCCGAGAGGACGGGAGAGACCTTCCATTATCTTGCCGCGAGGCACAGGTCGCATATCTCGTTACGCGGATCCAATATGTGTTGTATAAAAAAGCGTAAGAGAGTTTGGAGATGAGCATTGGATATATGCAGATATCGTGAGATCGATATAAAATTTAAATAAACACGCTACGCGCTACGACATTTAAATGGCATGGGGTGATGCGATGGGGCGGACTATACTTGCAGCGATTTAGCGAGCGTGTTAACTTCTCCTTGTCTCACAGCTCGATTAATACCTCGCGCAAATAACTAGCGGATCGTGTGAAAACTACGGATCTACTATTTGAGAAAAAAAAACGAAAAGGAGAAAATTCGTCTTGAGAGCTAATGTGGAGTAAGATCGATTTTGGACTTGCGGATAAGACAGTATCCTTTGCTGTGCGATCTCTTATAGGAGCGAAACCGGAGTAATATCCAGCGCTAAAAGCGACGATTATTGATCCGTGCGCTTCGCCAAGTGTAAACAAATCCCATAAGATATAATACAGGTAAGGAATAAAGTCGATGTGCATATGTGCTCGGTGCCTACGCGTAGCACACCGAATGCAGAATGCTTCAGCTGTCGCTTTGCGTGTAATCCGGCGTACGACGAGCGATACAGACACCGTCGAATTTAAAAAGAAGCCGAATAATATCAGGGTATTTTTCAAACGTTCTATTCGAGATATTCGAGGAGACGCATAAACAGGTAGAACAATAAACTCATGAGAAGAAGAAAGAACAACAGTCATGAAAATAGATGTGTCTGACAAGGGAACGTGTCACATTGCAAACATGGTGTCAGAAAATTGACGTTATCGATCGAAAGAGTTGAAATAAGTATCCTAGATGGTCAAATCTTTTCTAGGGATTCTATGAATTCTGTATCCGACTTGTTTGGTCATTTTAACTTAGACACAAAGCATCTTGAGAATACATTACTGAAAAAAAATGTTTCAATAAAAGTTGTAGGATTTGATGAGAATTGGCCCACCTGGACCCAAAATCTAAATACTCATCCGAGTCCCTTTCAGGCCTTATAACTTTTATTTGAAACATGTTTTTCAAAAATTCTCGAGCATTGTTCTCGAGATATTTGTGTCCAAGTTAAAATGGCTAAACATATTCCGGCCCAAGTCGGATACAGAATCTGTAAAATCCCAAGATTTGACTATCTACACTGAGAGAAAAATGTTTGGTATTTGTAACTATAATTACATATCATTACATATAATTATGATTATTACTGCTATAATAATAATAATAACAGTAACTATGTATATAGTTATAGCAACAAATGTATATAGTTGGCAATCTAAAATGACTATATATAATTATAGCTGTTATAACCATAAAATAGTTGAAATTACCATAAAAATGATTCAAGTGACTATAATTTTATAGTTATAAACAACATATTTATATTTTTTGACGTATTTTTTATAGTTATATTTTGGGACAACCATAAAAAATATGGTTGTTCCAAAATATAACTATAAAATTATAGTCACTTGAATCATTTTTATGGTAATTTCAACTATTTTTCAGTAATGTATTCTCAAGATACTTAGACACAAAGTATCTTGAGAATACATTACTGAAAAAAATATTTCAATAAAAGTTGTAGGATTGATGAGAATTGGTCCACCTGAACCTAAAATATATACATATAGTTATTATTATTAAAGCAGTAATAATCATAATTATAGTGATATGTAATTATAGTTACAAATACCAAACATTTTTCTCAGTGTAGAATACTTATTTCAAACGTGATTTTTCGGTTGGTAATGTTCCTGATATCACTTTTGCAATGTAGAACGTTTCTTTACAAGGCACGCAAGGCGACATTCTGAAAAAAACTTCCACATTCGGATGCCGCGAGGACATCCAAAATACCGGAAAAAGAAATGCGTTCTACTGCGGGCTTTCGGAGTGAATCGGAATTAATCGTGGTTCCATCGGCTGCGTTCAGCAGAGAAAGCAGCTTTGCAACTGTTGTAAAATTCTTCAATATGATTGGTCTTGCCCGTAATTCCTCATTGGATGTATAAAGCAATCATATTGAAGAATTTTACAACAGTTGCAAAGCTGCTTTCTCCGCTGAACGCAGCCATTATACGCCTTCGACGGCCGTTTGTTCCCGCCCTCCGTAATGGGTCCGACCAGGTGTCTCCACCGGAGGTCGACCTTTGACACAGAAGCCTGATTGTCGCGACTTGTCGCATCTTTCGCTTCTCTCGTGGATGCTGCTCTCGGACACGCGAGGCACACCTTCGTCGTCGTCGTCGTCGTCATCGTCTTCGGAGCGGTCGTGCGGCATGGGGATTAGAAACACCTAGGAGAGGATCCTAGAATCCCATTGCCATGTTCGTGTTTGTCTGTGTCGTTTTCGCGATGAGATAATCAGTAATGGGCGTAAGATGCGGCGATCGCGCATCACAATTTTGTATATGCTAGATCTTACTTTCAAGAAGCAGAAATCGCGCGCGACTCTTTATACCCGCTTTATCCAGAATCAAGATCTCTCGATCTCGATCGCGTGTAATCCTGACGTCTTTCGTGACTGTCAATGGAACACCTTTCTTGTGCTAAATAGCGGGAAAAGTATCAATAATGTAACGGTAATTCGCGGTAATATTTCATCGGCTCGATCGAAGGGAGCGATTTAATCGATACCACGAAGGAGCAAATAGCAGACGAATTTATTAACAGAGCATTTCTGCGTTTTCGCATCGTAGACAAACGTGTAAAATATAGATTATATTTTCATATCAGTTATCGAGTTTATGTTATAAAAATTATATATCATGCCTTGCACCTCTTAATTTTGCAAACACCGAATAATTTAACTTGGCTATTTGTACGAAAGGTATTCGATATATTTTCAACGAAAAAAAGCTGCACATACTTTATCGCTTTTGTTTACAAATTACAAAATGAGTTAATGGTTCAAATGTAACGGATAATATCCATCAATAAGATGGAAGAGAAGTTCGATAATTGAAAAGTCAGAGGAAAAATATATAAAGTAAGAGGGAGTCTGACGTAGGTGGAGTCGCTTAGCGTGTGTTGCGTGACGGTGTGTGGGAAAAGGTGGACGTACCTATTATGAAAGAAAGAACGTATCGATTTAACGGAATGTCCATTAAATCTTTGACAAGCCCTGAAATACAATTCTTTTCGCTCCGCCGACGTTTGCTAAATGCTGATTGTTGAAGCATCTGGTTTTAACGAACTGTTGAAAAGTCACAGACCATCGATCCCGCGTTCATTAACGTTTGTTGAGAGAAGCATGACAATCTCAGAAAACTCGTATTCATTCGTATTGAAGCAAAATTCTCACAACGAGGCAACATAAGCTCGCGCGTTCAGGATCAAGGCATGGTATATATATATATATTTATCATTGTCGTAGAGAACGTAGAAACAAGTCGAGCGAACGAGAAACTGCCATATTTTGAAGTCTGACAGTAAATTTCCTATTTTCCGGAATGTCGCTCGGACCGAAATGACCCGGGCTTTATTAAGCACCGGGCAAATTAGGAAATGTTTTGTGTTGCTAATCGGCGCATTGCAGTTGCATTAAACTCTCGTAATCTAATAAGCGGGTCTCGGATATTGCCGCTCCAGTGAGATTTACTGGACAATCGTGCGACAATCGTGAATTGCTGGAGAACGATCGTTTCATGTATTCCGAGTTTTGAGCCATCGATAGAAAGCCATCTTCCCTACTTTTTCCCCGGATTAGTGTTTCACACATAAATTAGATTTTATATTTCTTTTCTACAGATACACGTTCCGAAACATAAATTGCAGTTTACAACATAGAGAAATTAACATAAAGGGGATGAAATGCAGTACGCTATTTTGAAGTCACATTAAAGGATTAAGTTAATCTTCCTGATGGCGCTTGTAAACAATTAAATGCAGTCAAACTGGATGTAACAAGCTTTCAAAAATAATTCTACCTCGCTCGCGATGACAATATCGCGAAATTCTGTATCTCTTTGCAGTAGAGATAAAAGCTAATTAAAGCCGGTATGCAAAAATAAATTGGTAAATATTTACGACAATTATTGAAATAACAAAATATCATAAAAATTAGATCTTACGATTGTTTCTGCTCCAACAATTGTCATAGACATTTACGCTTATATTTGTTCTCTAATTATATTTGTATGTATATGTAAAAATAGCCCTTCTCTTATATATGTATATGTAAAACTATCCCTTCAAAGAGTTGCTTTTTTATTCGTCAATCAAATTTTCTCTTCCTCTCTCTCTCTCTCTATCTCTTTCTTTCTAGCATCTTCTTTATCGAGTCATCTAATATCTATCCCGCGTTATAAGTGGTAAGGATATCGGCGCCAATGAAGTGAGCTTCAAGAGCGGCAACATCCGAGTACTACTAATAAAGAGACGGCCATATGATGCTTAACCACGGAGATATGGATCCAAGATCCGTCGCGATTAACCCAACACCACTTTAGAGAAGAAAAAGCACGCGTATAGAGTACCGATATATATATATATATATATATATATATCGGTAGCATCTGTTCACATAAATATACTTCAAAGCTGCTAATTTTAAACTCCTACAGAAAATATTGTTATTGTCATTATATCATAATGAAATTCTTACGTAATATTATCATCGTATATAAATTTCCAATAATAAATTTATATTATTAATACAGAGCGTTTTTTTTCTTTTTTTTTTAGAAAATAGAACTAGTGCAGCTGCCTTCCTTAGTAATCCATGTGCCGGTATATCGACTGCTAAATAAATTATGGCGGGCACATATATTCTGCATACATTTTACATACACATACACATATATCTTGCGACGTGGCCGATAAATTTTTAAATGTCATCATCTTTTCTCGCACTTAGCGTGTGAATATTTAAACGGCGGTCTGCAAACGGCGTTGGGTTAATCACGGAGATCGATCGGTAAACGAATGCGGTTCAAAGTGGGACTCGCTTCGGTGAAAACGCGCCCTGGAAATTGGAGCTCTATAACGAGACCCCGAACGACAAAGTCGCCTTTTGCGTCGTCGCCAGCCCCGTGTATAATTAATTGGTACCAGGCCTGTCTAATTACACTGCCTCCGCGACGTCGTCGTCGTCGTCGCAATTGGCAATTCGCGGTTAATCCCCAACTCTGTCGCGGCAGCACAATATCTCGCAGCCGCCGCTGTTCTTGCCTAAGAACTCGTCGCGTTGTTCGCGTGCAATCCCCGGGCTATTTTCTGCTAAATGAGCGTATTCGCCAAACGTGCGCGTCGCATTTCTCATTGTTCTAAAAGTATACCGACCAGGACCGTGTGCTCGCGCATTATTTGGCTGCCGAAGAAAAACGTACCCTCGACGTAAAAATCGTCGGTGAAAAAGTTAATCGGGGACAAAAATCCATTACGTGTTTAATCACGGGATGTATTTGCAATTATAATTCTGGATTATTTATTTAAGTCTCGCGTTGCTCTCGATGGAAGGATATTACGACGTTCTGCCCTATTCTCCCTTGATAAATAGTAGACGAGAGCCCGCACTCTAGATATATACTCGGCACGAAAACTCGGGAGAGAAATGAACCGTGTCCTGAATGTAAATCTCTCGGCTCGCGCGCAATGCGGCTGTTGAAAAATTTATCCTCGCAATTAAATTACATCGGTCGTTGATACGCACTGCTGA